GGGAAAGAGACGTACTGAAATTAAATGTCTTTGTTATGCATCAAGCCTGCATCGTCCCTTTTCCCTGAAAACACCAAGGATTTGGGTTTTCTGCTGCTGAGAAGCAGAATTTGAGTAGATTGTGCTGTTGTCAGAACTTAGCTATTTATAACCCCCTAAGAGAGTCCAGCATGTGTTCATCTGTACATGACAAAGGTGAGGTCCAGCTCCTAGGTAGGCTGCTGGCGATTAAGCGGGCGTATGTCAGGGAGAGTTTTACAAGCCTATCAGTCCCATCCTTTGCTCCCACTGTTCACCTTCCTTGCTAACCAAAAACATCAACCTGTGGGGACGTACCAAGGCTGTGAGACAAAGAATAAGCAGTGCTTTCAGAGGTCACCCGCTGCTTAGCAGGGTCCTCCTTTCCTGTGTTTATGTTATAGCTTCTATCACTACAGCGGCGTTTCCCGTGCTATGCCTTTCTGCGTGCAAGTGAGCCAAATTCACTGTGGCATAGTTCTGTTACATGCGGTGGGATATTGTGAGGATGCTGGCCTCTTACGTTAATTCTACTTAGAATTTGGAGCAAGTTGTAAGCAGATTTATTACTCCTTAATAAAAAGTGTAATTCAAAGTAAAAACAATGAAACAAAGCAGCATATATCTCAGCCCAGTTAGAACTGGACAAAGTTACGTCTCAATTTCAGAAAGGATTGAGTGAGTTATTTGTTTTCTACTTATGATGGAACGGAGGACTTCCATTCTTGGTTCAGATTCTGGGTAGGACCTTTGTGGTTCAGGCCTTGAGCTTTATTGGTAATAACACTTTCTCTCTTGGGCAGCAGCTGGAAATGGTGATCCATCTTTGTGGAGCAAATCTATCAATGAAACAGCGCAATTAAAGCAGCCTAGAGTACTTGGTTAGAAATGAACCGTGACTATGAAACCAGCTCCCCAGAGCGATGCCGCAGGTCACAAATGTGCTGATGTTATGGTAAGCATGTAATGTAGTTACTGTGCTGATACTTTGCATCCTGTGATATATGAATCAAAACAATTTAGTTTATTCAGTAAGTGGAGTTAGGTTACAAGCTCTCTTATGCTTAATTAGTGCTAATTATTCTAATCAGGTTAGAGAAGAGGATGAAATGAATATTTTCTGCAAGAAAATTTTTTCCGGCTCTCTTTTTCTTTGAAAGCAGTATAGGTATTTCATGTTTATTCCACACATGGAAGGAAAGCAGGAAGCCATCAAAGGGGGCACACCACGTGCACAAAAACATACTGCAGCAGACTATGGAAGCATTATACAAATTTATAAGAGGACCAGGGATGAAATCTAGTAGTCTTCAGTATTTCAGATAACAGTGCCACTCCTCTGCCACAAACCCTTATTATATAAGGATTGCCTATAGCAAACCACGGCCATTCCAGTACTGTCCAACAATAGTTCTGTAATAGTTGGGTGCCCTTTACTTTTTCATTCTGCTTGCATGAAAAAATAAATTAAGTATCAGATAGGTTTTTTTAAGATGCAGAAGGAAAAAGCTGATTCTAGTACAGACAATGTCGAGCAGATTGCCCATGTATAAACTGTCTTCAGTCTCTTGGAAAGGCCATTTTCATTAAGCTCAGCTAGCAGGAAACTTTATTTCTGAACCCACACTTTTCTCAAATCCTCTTCTGATGCATTCCTATGTGGCCACAGTGCAAGTACAACCACCAGATGACAAACCCATGTATTTCAAATTCAGTAGTAATGTTTCAAGTGCACAAATGTTGGTAATCATCAAACCTGAGGTTTGTTTCCGTTCCTTTACAGCACATACTGTGCTGTGTTGTCAGGTAGCACCTAGCTGGGCCTTACTGCCCACCGTACACATTGCAAACACATAGATGTTCTCTTAGTGACATAGAAGCAGGAGACTGTACTGTCCTCTCTTTTTAGAATACTAAGTCACATATGCACTTCCCCCATAAATAATGGCATATAACTGACATAGGACAATAGCAGTCTTGTATCTAGAAGTGACTCAAAGTATTTGGAGCGTGCACAGCCCACAAATTCACACAATGTTAATGTTCTAAAAGGGCAAGCTCTGAAGTCTAAACAGAAAATGTTTCTCTTTATTGAGAATCCAGTAGTTCATTAGTCATGAAAAGCGAGCTTTCATCTAAAAGTCACTGAAAACTCATTTTTATGTCCAACCCCTGTAACACTTCGTGTTGGCACAGTGTGCAGCAACTACACCCTAATGCCACGTGACCACTAGGTGCTCTGGTGTCCTGCTCATAAAGGTGTAGGAGTAGTCTGCAAGCACGTTATGCACAACCAAAGCAATTGTTTAGTGCTACTGAGCAAACTCCTTATTTATTCACTAAAGAAAAATACTGTTTAAACCTGCCTGTGAACTTAAAATTCAAATGTGAAACTATATATCCATCTTAAGGCTTGCCTGGCTGCATGTAAGTGGATGATGTCTAGGTTCATTGTGTGTTCTCAAATTATTTCTTTCTTTTTTTTTTTAAAGTGCTGTCATTTAAGACATACAAAGAAAAATGGCCTCGGAGGAACCACCTCCAATGCACCGCAAAGGCTTTGTACAGTTTTTGATTACTCATTCTGGCCAGGCATTGGAGAAAATTATTTAGATAATCTGCTATACATAAACGGATTGGTGGGGAGGATCACCAGATAGTGTTGCACCAGTCTACGTCATTTCTGGATGATCTCCAAAGGTAGGAAGCAAAAACAACAAATGCTGAGCAGCACGTTCCTAAGAGAGCATAGTGAGGCATTGGCTTAGGCAGCTGCCCACCCGGAAACTTTCCCTGCCAGGACATAAGTAAAGTTTTGTGCTGCAGCATTCTTCAGAGCTTGTAGAAAAATGCTCTCACTTCACCAAGGCCACGATTTTTATAGGCTGGATACAGTTAGACTGAGAAAAAGAGCTGCTGAAGTTACATGTTTCATCATGTAATCAGGGTAGTCTTATGTGTACAACGTAAGTGT